ATTATATATTTTAATTTCTGATTAAATATATTTCACATTATATATTTTAATTTCTGATTAAATATATTTCAGATTATATATTTCAATTTCTGATTAAATATATTTCACATTATATATTTCAATTTCTGAATGAATATATTTCAGATTAACAACTGCTGTGGAGCTTCCAACTGAGTTTGTCCATCTGTATATATCCAACTGTATCTCAACCTGTGAAACTATGAAGGAACAACATTTATAACATTATATATAACAACTAGCTTGGGAATCCAGCTTTGCCTGGATTTTCCCCTTTTAAAGTCAAACCTCTCTACTTAGAATTTTTTAACCGAGCTAAGAACATTTCTGTGGTTCTCCCGAGTTCCCGAATCAAAATTGAGGCAAATCGGTCCTGGGGTGCACGAGTTTTGATCGAACACCTATATAAACAGACAAACAGAGATTACTACTTTCTATAAATAGACATAAAGATATTTGAGGGGAGGGGTGCGGGGGTGTACATTACAGTGTTTACTCATACTTTTTCCCCATAATGCGTTCAAAATTTCACTTATTTAAAAAAATCTAATTTTGATATTTGTTAAATTTTGATAAATGTTGGTTGTAGGATAAATATATGCAAAACCGGCTGGTTCGGTTAGTTTGTGTTTTCCTGCAGGTAATTTAGTTTAAAGAATAATAATCCCTTACAAATACGCATACAATACCCATGTTTAATTTTTTTCTTTCTGTTGTAAAATTTTTAATTTGAGGAAACCAATTGATTATTGTGCCAAGCAATGAACTTGTGGGTAAAATGGTCAGCTTAAATTTTTTGTGGAAATAGATGTTTGATTGTTTGTAGAAATAAATACAACAGTTGATTTTATTTGTTTGGCGATTTTTGCTTAATTTCAATATTCACTTATCAGATTATTTTTCACAATTATAAAAATTAAAGAAAATGACTCTTTTCTATCACTTAAAATCTAAACCACTATTTTAGCCAATTCCATATCTTTTCGGTAGAATTGATGTTTTGAATTTCCACTGTTGTAAAAAGCCATTTATAATTTTATTTTTTAATATTTCAGAGTCTGATTCGAAACAAGATAATCAACGTTGGGGAACTTTTTATTGAAGTTCAAGCCTTCTGTATAGAATTCAGCAGGTTAGGAATCAAGAAGAAACTCAATATTCATTAAACTATTAATAATTGAAATTCTATTACTTTCCATGAGAGGTAATATTTTTTTGTCACTTCGAGCTTGTTTGTTTATGTGGTCCCTAAGAGTATGATTTGATTTGAATTTGTCATTCCTCTTATGTGGATCCATTTTCAGTTTTCTATACATTATTGGTTTGTTCAGGGTAATGAGGTTAGTTTTGGTAATGTTGAATTTTGAAACCCTTTTTCCTTCATGACATTTTATGTAGTTAATTGATTTTTATTAAGAATTCGTGAAGCTGCGGCACTCTTCCGTCTTCTCCGGCAACTGGATAGTGGAGAATTGGAACATCAGGGAACCACAGTTCCTCCACAACCACAGAAATAGAGTTCCAAGGGACCACTGTTCCTCCACATCCACAGAAATAGAGTTCCAAGGAACCACAGTTCCTCCACAACCACAGAAATAGAGTTCCAAGGGACCACAGTTCCTCCACAACCACAGAAATAGAGTTCAAAGGGACCATAGTTCCTCCACAATCACAGAAATAGAGTTCCAAGAAACCATAGTTCCTCCGCAACCACAGAAATAGATTTCCAAGGAACCACAGCTCCTCCACATCCACAGAAATAGAGTTCCAAGGAACCACAGCTCCTCCGCAATCACAGAAATAGATTTCCAAGGAACCACAGCTCCTCCACATCCACAGAAATAGAGTTCCAAGGAACCACAGTTCCTCCGCTGCAACCACAAAAATAGAGTTCCCAGGAACTAAAGTTCTTCCAAAACCACAGAAATAGAAAAATATCTGTTCCCAAAACTTGAGTGCATAGGATCTAGATTCTAGAGTTCTCCAACAACCACAAAAAAATGATATTTCTTCATTTAAAGATGATTTATAATTTGTGGATTTTCTATCGAAAATTTCCTCTCCTGTTATTCATTTGCTCATTAAGCTAGGTTTTTTCCCCCTATCCGCCCTGTATTTTCTTAACTAATCCATCTTTTTCCTTTTCCCCCGACTCTTGTTCATTCATCGCATTATCCTCCATTTTTTTCATTGAAGAAATTTCATTTTTTTCCATCTTAGAAGTATCAAATCAGGATTTACCAAGAAGATGGTGCTAAATATTTTTTATAAAACTTGTATGTGAATCAATTTTTTTTAAATAATATGTTCTAGTCTCTTAAAATTAATTTTATTTTGCTCCTTTCATAAAGTAATAAATTCAAAGTTATCAGTCAAAATTGTTAAAGCTGCTTATTTTAATATGATTACTATATTATGAATTGTTTTCTATACTTTCAGAGAATCTTAAACTATTTGAAACTCAACTTGTTGATTTTGACTGGTCCCCTGGATGCTTGGACGGCTAGGCCGGCTAGTGCCAGCTGCGGTCAGATCAGTTCAAGAGTCCTTTCATACACTTCAAGCCAGGTAGAACATTCTTTTATACTGGAGTTGGTTTACTAGGGGAGACATACGAACTGTATACAATAGGAGATCAATTACAGGAATATGTTTATATTGTTATATTATAAAGGTAAAGAAGAAGGTTGTTTACAATAGGAGAATGTTTACAATAGTAGATTGTTAACATTTGGAGATTGTTTGCATTTGGAGAGTGTTTGCATCGAGATTGTTTTCATTAGGAAATTGTTCACAATAGGAGATTGTGTACATTAGGAGATTGTTGACATTAGGAGATTTTTGACATTAGGAGATTGTTGACATTAGGAGATTGTTGACATTAGGAGATTGTTGACATTAGGAGATTGTTGACATTAGGATATTGTTGACATTAGGAGATTGTTGACATTAGGAGATTGTTTAAATTAGGGGATTGTTTAATTGGGAGATTGTTGACATTAGGAGATTGTTGACATTAGGAGATTGTTGACATTAGGATATTGTTGACATTAGGAGATTGTTGACATTAGGAGATTGTTTAAATTAGGGGATTGTTTAATTGGGAGATTGTTTAAATTAGGAGATTGTTTAATTGGGAGATTGTTTAAACTAGGTGATTATTTACCTTTGGAGATTGTTTGCCTAAGGTGATTGTTTGCCTTAGGTGATTGTTCCCTGTAGAAGATTGTCAATTTTATAATTAGATCGGTTACATTAGGCGATTATTTTTACATTTGGAAATTGTTTTTTATTGGGAGATTGGTTACATTTAGAAAATTGTTAACATTAGAAGATTGTTTACTTTAGAAGATTGTTTGCATAAGGAGATTGTTTGTCTTAAGAGATTGTTTTACATGAGGAAATTGTGTACATTTAGGAGAATGTTTGTATTAGGAGATTGTTTTTATTCGGAAATTGTTTATAATTGGAGAATGTTTACATATAGTTTGCACAACAGAATCTAAAATGATCTGATAATTTTGACAATATTTTAATTAAAAATTGAGAACTTGAAGATTAAACTCCTGATATATTTGCATATTGCTTGGTTTTCGTCACATTTTTCTTAAATTTGTTCAACTTTGCAAATACTGGATCAGACAAATTACAATGATTTGCATTGGTGGTTTTAATTTATGATTTTGATACATAATTTGTACTTAATTATCATCTGTTATAAAAATACAAAAAAAATCATTCTCGTGTAACTTTTTTTAAATGATCAACCCTGTTTTATCTCGGCATTATTTAGTTGGATGTTTAACATTGTCGTAACACTGGATTTGTTTACTCTACTATGATAGGATTAGCTGGCATCATCAGCTCTTATCTCTTGTTGAACAAGGTGGAAATGACGTTGATAATGAATAATAAAGATTATGAATGATGAAAACATTTTCCTTAAGAAGGATTGCCAATTGTAAATCAGTCAAGGATGTATTGCCCTTGTGCATCTCATTAAATGAAACTATTCAGATCATTAATTTGGCATCTTAAAATTTTAGTAATATTAATCAGCTCATGTTAATTCCTTTAAAAGCTCCCCTCCCCCTTCTTCCAAACCATTATATTTTTTATATAATACGAATCCCCCCCCTTGCCTTCTAATAATCTTCTATTTCGTCTGAAACTTGAGAGGCTTCTGTATCTTGTTTACAAACTGTTGCAGAGACTGTTTTGAACTATTGATTAAAGTTCTGATGTTTCTTTATTATTAAATATTAGATATTTGGGTTATCAGAGATTTACGAGTGATAAGAGAGGGATTCTATTCCCATTTATGCCGATAATTGTAATTTCGTATCATTCACTGATAGACACATTTACACAAGTTTCTGCATCCCCATGCATTAATAAATACATTTACAAAAGTTCCTCCCCCTCCCCTCGGCCCTCCCCCCTTGAATTTTCCTGACATTCTTCACTGCCTTAGGGTTTATAATCACCTGTAACCGGGGTGGGGGGGCATACTTCAGATTCAGTACCCTAGTGTACTTTAACCAAGAAACAGCTGTTAGTATATAAGTGGTATAATGTTTAAATCATGAATATTAAATTGCAGTGGAAGCTTTCTCAATATTAACATTTTTAAACATGTGTGTTTATATAAAGAGTATATTCACGATTAATTTATAAGATTCTGTACATAAAGATAAATCCAATTCTAAATGCACACGTTTAAAGAGATATTTCTAAACAAAAACAATCTAAATTGTGACCCAAGATTGGATAAAAATAAACTTCATACAAAACTTTAAAACATTCATGATTTTAATTATATATTCTAATATTTAAAATCTGTGTATGAGTGAACTTAATATATCCTATATTTCAGAACCTCTGTAATAGGTAAACCTAATATATTCTATATTTCAGAACCTTTGTAAGGGGTAAACCTAATATATTCTATATTTCAGAACCTCTGTAATGGGGTAAACCTAATATATTCTATATTTCAAAACCTCTGTAATGGGTAAACCTTATATATTCTATATTTCAGAACCTCTGTAAGGGGTAAACCTAATATATTCTATATTTCAGAACGTCTGTAATGGGTAAACCTAATAGATTCCATATTTCAGAACCTTTGTTAATGGGTAAACCTAATATATTCTATATTTCAGAACCTCTGTAATGGGTAAACCTAATGTTATATTTGTATTGGGAGGACCCGGGGCTGGTAAAGGAACCCAGTGTGCCAGGTACAAAACCTGAAAATAAATAGAAAATTTAGAATTAATAGCTATTTCTAAACCTCTTATCCAATCTTATGATTCATGAATTAAATTCTGCAAGTGTTTAACCCTCCAAGCATGCGAACTTAAAGATTTCAGTTTTTAATGAATTCTTTCTTTATATTTTGATTTGCACAAAAATTAGAAAATTTAGTTTGAAATATTATTAAAATCAAAATAAGGTTTTTCAAGTGTGCTTTAATTTTTTTACCGTAAATTAGTGTTTACATGTCTTCAGCAAAAAATAACTCTTTTTAATGTTTTTAAACGAAGAAGTTAAGTTAAAAAAAAACTTTTTTGTGGATTTTTTTTTTTTACAGCCAATCTGGCCAATCTGGTTTACTAGTCGGGTCTTGATTTAAAAACATTATCTTAACATTCACAATAATAGTAATAATATTGATACAAATTATCTATTACATGATGATAAGTTGTAAAGTTTTATAGGATTGTTGAAAGCTTTGGATATGTTCACCTCTCAGCAGGAGATCTACTCAGGGCAGAACGGATAGCTCCGGGTTCCGAGGTAACTTATCCATAGTGTTAATTGTTCCGAGGTAACTTATCCATAGTGTTAATTGTTCCGAGGTTACGAGGTAACTTATCCATAGTGTTAATTGTTCCGAGGTAACTTATCCATAGTGTTAATTGTTCCGAGGTTACTTATTTTCCATAGTGTTAATTGTTCCGAGGAAACTTATCCATAGTGTTAATTGTTCCGAGGTAATTTATCCGTAGTGATAATTGTTCCGAGGTAACTTATCCATAGTGTTAATTGTTCCGAGGTAATTTATCCGTAGTGATAATTGTTCCTAGGTAACTTATCCATAGTGTTAATTGTTCCGAGGTAACTTATCCATAGTGTTAATTGTTCCGAGGTAATTTATCCGTAGTGATAATTGTTCCTAATTAACTTATCCATAGTGTTAATTGTTCCGAGGTAACTTATCCATTATTAAAATAGTATATTCATATTTTTAAATGAAATTAATATAACTCAAGGATAAAGGTTCATGTTAAGGTTCATAAGATAATTGTGAACTGTCTTAGTTTGGTGAGCTGATCGAGCATCATATAACAAACGGAACAATAGTTCCGGTGGAGATCACGTGCTCCCTTCTGGAACGTGCCATGACAAAGTCGGAGAAAAATGATTTCCTGATTGATGGATTTCCAAGAAATGAGGTAAGATGATTTCCAGTGTCAGAACAAGTTTTAAAGAGAAATATATTTTTGTCAATTTTTAAAATTTTGATTTCCTTCCTTCCTGTTTCAGAACGTTTTTTTTTTGTGTTGTAAATGAAAGTCCAATCGTTGGAACTTTATTAAGTTTTCGATCAATCTTTATTATTTAATATTAGTTTATATTTAAACAAGATTAATTTTTAATTTTATTTCTATCTCTAAATGTATAAAACCTCACATACAAGGTGTCCCAAAAAACATGGGAATTCAGTGACGACTGACGAATTTGATATCGTCTTTGTTATGAATTAGCATTGTAATACCTAATTTCAAAAGCCATAATATTATTATGTCTGCTAGAGTTTATTTTATGAAAAGGGTAAAAGACTGTAAAGATGTGTCTACAATGTCTCCGCAAGATGAACAGTGTATTGTACACTGCAATTTTCTTGTTTTACTAAGTACACCCTTATGCGGTCAAAACATAAACAAACAAAATGTGAACATAGCAGACGAAACTTTTACAGATTACAGCTTTCTGATTAGGTATCACTATACTTTAAATTAAAGAATTATTTAAAAAGACGATATCGAATTCGTCATTGAATTCCCATGTTTATTGGGACACCCTGTAGCTTGTAGCATGGTCAAGTTGTTTGTTTTCTTTAGACCAAATCTTATTTAGGTGATATTGATGTTTTCTTGATTGTATTTGTTCAACAAGAGATTTTTTATCCAAAAGGGTTTTAACTTAACTTATAATGTAAAATTTTCATTTTTCCCTAGCGCATCAATATTTTTTTTTTAATATAAATCCGTGCTTGAAATTGCGTGTATGCTGTACACTGTACAGTGTACAGTGTACAGTCCCTTAAACAAGATGTTTTAATCAGGATAATCTGACGGGATGGAATAAACAGATGGGAGAGAAGGTTAACGTAAGGAGAGTTCTTTTCTTTCACTGCTCACAGGATACTAACTTAAATTAACTAGGTTTAACCATAAAATAGATAATCGTGTTTTTTTTAATGTTATAAAATAATTTTTGAGTCCACTGGAAGCTAAGTTTTTTGATGCGTTTGTGGTGGAGCCGGTTGCGATTTGACGAAACAATGGTTGGTCATTTTATTTATTTATTTAATTTGATTTGATGCTGCACAGGATGAACAATGAACATAGACTCCTTCTTTCTTATTGCCATGATTCAAATGATCATTTTTACTTTTTACTTAAGAAATTACTTCTCAATTTACAACTGTCCTGAAACGATAAAAAGAAATTAAAATTTGTTAACGATTTTTGATAATCTGAACCGTACGTTTGTTTACTAACAGGATATCTGTACAGCTAGATGTTTAGCTCGGGGTGCTGCAGGGAGTGGCAGGTACTGTTTTTTGTTTAGGGGGGGGGAGAATTATATTTAACGAAGGAAAGAAAAAAAAAAGCAAAAAAACATAAGAAAAATCCGCCCAAGGAAAATATAATATCAATCTAATAATGAGCGGGCTCCTTTATTTATCAAAGTTACATTGTATGGATATTGTATACATACAATATCAGATAAAAATTAATTATGTATTTATTCACTAAATCCTAAGAACATTGGTAATTTTAAGCCACTTCCAGGGGTAGATGCACATTATACACTCACTTTTCCCTGTAAGGTTAGGTTAAGATAGATAGATAGTATAAAATTATCCCGTAACCTAGAACATTTAATAAAGACGGGGGAAGGGGGCCTGGCGTCATCTGCTAGGAAATTGCCTTTATACCAATAATTTTTAACTATTTATTAATGCTTTTTCTCATTATTAAATTTATAAATTTTGCGACTTTAAAACTTGAAAAATGTACTGGGAACAAACCAAGAGAAATTACGAAAAATTAAAGATTATAGATTTTCATTGATTTTTTACGATGTAAATATTATTCCAAGATTTACGAATAAAGAAATTCCGAAAGGAAAATATTATAGGGTTTTATTAATTTTTTACATAATAAATATTATTCTAAGATTGTTCAATAAAAGATCTTGTATTTTAGAACTGATGACAACGAGGAGAGTTTGAGGAAAAGATTTGTGACTTATGAGACAGCGACCATGCCTATTATCAGGTTAGATGATGTTTTCTAGTGTTCCTGTTTTTAGAATTAAAGGAACTGTATAATTCAGACGTAGTTCCAAGTAACCCACCATTTAAAGAGTGACTTGTTCGAATACAGACATTAAATCTTTGAAAGATCCAGAGTGAATTGAGATATCCGTAATCTTATATCTGAAAATTGAGTGCCGGGAGACTCAAGGTTACAGTACACACTTCATGCCAGTTAACATGTCAAATTTAAACTAACTCTGTTACTCAATATCTTTGACTATTTTAGGCATTACGAAGCCATGAATCTTGTGAGTCAAATTGATGCTTAAAAGGATTTTAAAGATCGAATTTTTCCTCTTGCTGAAACGTTTAATAGGTCTGAAATGAATCCTTAAAAAGTTCTCTACAATAATGCACTCTCAATTAATTAAAGGAACTGAATAATTCAGACGTAATTCCAAGTAACCCACCATTTTAAGAGTGACATGTTCGAATAAAGACATTATTAAATCTTTGAAAGATCCAGAGTGAATTGAGATATCCGAAATCTTAAATCTGAAAATTGAGTGCTGGGAGACTCAAGGTTACAGTACACACTTCATGCCAGTTAACATGTCAAATTTAAACTAACTCTGTTACTCAATATCTTTGACTATTTTAGGCATTACGAAGCCATGAATCTTGTGAGTCAAATTGATGCTTCTAGGTAAGTTATGTTATGTCCCTGTTTGTTTGGTATCTCACTTTCTTCCCGACCCTTTTTTTGAACCAATATTAATATATCTCTTCTTTATGAAATATGACACCTGTTATGCAAGCATTAAAAGTGAAATTCAAACAACAATAACAGAATGTCTTTATACCTAACTATCCCCAACATTTATGGTTTTGAAAATGAACTTACCTCAAATAATATTTATATAATCCTTATATCTTTAAAACCTGAAAATCAAAAGGTGAAAGTTTGTCACATTCGGTTTGTGTGTGGCCTGTACATTGTACACTGTACAGAGATAAAACTATATTTTTTCACTAAATTTCTCAGATTTCCTGTAATTTCTATATTTAATTAAATATAACTGCAGGTCCCCGGATGAGTGCTATGCTGAAGTTGAAGAAATATTGAACAAATTGTAGAAAATGTTGCTGACACAACTTGCTGAGGACCACTGCAACTAGCTGTAAACTGCTGAAATTAGCAGTAAACTGCTGAAACTAGTTGTAAACTGCTGAAACTAGCTGTAAACTGCTGAAACTAGCTGTAAACTGCTGAAACTAGCTTTAAACTGCTGAAACTAGCTTTAAACTGCTGAAACCGCCTGTAAACTGCTGAAACCGGCAGAAAACTGCTGAAACTAGCTGTAAACTGCTGAAACTAGCAGTAAACTGCTGAAACTAGCTGTAAACTGCTGAAACTAGCTGTAAACTGCTGAAACCGGCTGTAAACTGCTGAAACCGGCAGAAAACTGCTGAAACTAGCTGTAAACTGCTGAAACTAGCTGTAAACTGCTGAAACTAGCTGTAAACTGCTGAAACTAGCTGTAAACTTCTGAAAAACTGCTGAAACCGGCAGAAAACTGCTACAAACCTAACTTTAATAATTAAGATCTAAAGATGTGTGTTCTGTGCACTGTACATATTTACATAGTACATACTTTTATTCCACGTATTTTTGAATTTCACATTTTGCATTCAACTTTTCAAAAAAAAGTATTGCACCCTTGCAATTATTAGATATTATTTTTGATTCGGCACACTTTGTTAACCCTGTATATACGACAGTTGAGAATACTTTGAACTTTTGTTAGTATAAATGTTATATTGGTAGTATAAATGTAATAATATAGCTGTTTATATACAAGATGTGTGAAAATATCAGAAAATTGTACTCAAATAATCAGACTATTAAGTTTAAATAATTCTAGTTTTTTCCCTCAAATTTACTGAACGACTTCATCGAACTTATCCTACCTCGGTTTCACCAATTTTTTTATTCAAAGTTTTTGATTTAATAATGCCAAATAAAATTTTTATTAATCACAGTCCACAACTGATTTTTCTCCAAAGATCTAATTTTATTTTTTTTTCGCCCTGCTAATGAATTGATTACTAGCACATTGTATTATTGCTACGGATAAAGTACAATGAATTGTATTCGAGAAGGAACACAACAAAATTTATTTTCCCCATTAATATTATTTTTACTATTTGTTTGTAACCAATGTGATCACAGTTAACAATGATCGGTCAATAATAGAAGATTTTGTTTTTTAAATAATAAATTGATTTTTTTTTCAGAGAAATAGTTGAAAATGTGTTCATTGTTACATATATCTCAGCAATTCTAATTAGTTGTAGAAAAAGCCAAATGACCAAATTAGCTATTAAAAAGTATTTAAAGTTTTCATAATAATTTATAATAATTTCGAATCTAGCTATGTATGTGATCAGTTGCCCCCTTTTTTTAAGGTCCTTATGGAGCTATAAAAGGGTTTCTGAACGTTTATCAACTGTCGACACCCTCAGACTTTCTCAACATTCCAAGTTGGAAAAATTACTCGATATGTCTTGTTATTTATTTATTATAAAAATATTGAAAGATCCTTGAGTAGATAAATTATCTCCAAATGCTTACCTACAAGCAAGTCTAATTTGCTAAACATTTGCAGAGATAGTTTATGGGCATTTAAAACCGAGGTATAAAAATATCTGAATCTATATAAGGAATATAAGTCTTGGGATTTTCGGAATGTGGTCTGTTGTTTAGTGTCTTCAAAGTTTCCCATATTCAATCTGATAATAACTACAGAACTTGTCTGATTTAGAAAAACTAATCTATTAGGACGCATCGTGCCCATCTTTTATTTCAATTGTGAACATGTTCTCTTTGTTACATTGTAAAACAAAATCAAGAAAAAATTCGCGGATTTAAAAAAAATTGGTTGATTTACAAAATTTTAAAAATTGAATTTTTCAGAGTAAATTTTTGAAAATTTTGTCATCCATAGACCTTCTCTGGGGTCACGCGAGGTCCCACAAAAATTTGGGTCCGATCGGTTCAGCCGTTTTGACATTTATTTGTATTGGGTACATACAAACAAACAAACAGACGAGCAAAGTATTATATAGAAGTCATATTTTAAAGATATCTAAAATTATGGAAAGCAATCATAACAATTACAAACTTTTTGAGGAAACCGAAGATTCTATGGATAATTTCCTAATTCATGTAAATCTAATAAAGTTAAAGTTTTTTAGATTATTTGAATTGATTTTAATTTTACACCCCCCCCCCTCTATGACGTCATGAATTATAAAACAGCTGATATTTGTTATCTACCACTACCAGCTACCTGGAAGTTCATGTCTGTTATATCGATACAAATTTTTAGACACAGAAATATTCTACATTTTAATATAATTATCTTTATTTCTTTTCATTTAATAAAATGAATCTTTGAAGTGAATCCCGGTTCAGTGTGTAAAGGAATACCATAGCTACTGGTTTACTGATATCAAGAAATATGAACCAGTTCACAGGATTAAGGTTTGTTTCTATTATTATTCTTCATATTATATTTTAAAAGATGATTTTTTTAATATTTATTCATAGGCCAAAAAATTAAATGTTTTAGAGTTTATCAAAAAACAATTAACGACTAATCGTCAATTTGAATTGAGCGTTTTAATTAATTCATATAATTATTTTGTTATAATTTTAAATGATTGAAACTTAGCCGAATCAACAAATATTTCAGGTCAAATCTTGCAAATATTCAATATCTGAAGGCTGCAAGGTAATTAATTAGGTTTGAGCATTAATTTAAATACTATGATTACTTGATAAAAATGTAAAAATTTATTAATAAAGAAATTATTATTTTGTTACATATATTTGACTCTGAACATTAATTATCGAATTTGATGTTTATTATAAAAACTTATTTCTTTAATTTATATAAAGTGGAGAAAGATTAGCCTATGAGAAGATTGATGGATCTCCGAACCTTCCAACCCTTCTTTACATTCCTGGATACGGATCAGGGAAGGATGGTGATAAGGTAGAATCTGCCACTTTCTCCTAGTGAAGGGGAGGGATAGTTAATCTGAGCTTATAGTGATGTTCTCAACATATTTCTTAAATTAAACCAATCTGCTGATTATCAGATTTTTATCAAATTATTTTGAGGTTGTATTTTTGAAATCTGTTGCTGCTGAGATTGGGTGCGGATTCATCAGATACGACCCATTTGGATTAGGTAAAAAATAACCAATAAATCCATAAATATCCCGAAAACTATTTTTCATGAAATCCCTTAAACTCAGGGAATAGGAATAAAGGGAAAAGAAATGGTGCTGGTCTGGCATGAGGAAGCCAGTCGCACTGCTTTGCAGACAAGTTCGGTATTCCTTAAACACACTATTTTGGCACAGACACATAACATGACTACAGTCAAGAAAATTATAATTAAGCTTGAGTAGTTTATTGTAAACTTTAATCAAAGAAATTACGTTTCCGCCCCTTGCTTTAACCGCATTAAAGACTGCCAATTGTTGAGGGGATTTTAAATGAATCCATTCATTTTTTTATTTTATCCTGGTTTCAATGGATCTAATTAGATCTCAAGGATTGGGTTCTCAGTGCTAGGAATATACTAACTACACAGGACAACTGTTAATCTTATAGCAAGATATAGCAAGATTTCAAGTTTTCAGCAAAACAAAATTGTTATTTATTTTATTGGAAGGTGTAGATATAATTTTAAGTTTGTTTATCTGTACCTCAATGGTTGATTCTAAATTATTCGTTAACAGTACTTTCGATATTTATTTCAAGTAAGCTTCAAGAGTGACATGCCCATTTAATCTCGAAGGATGTTTTTTTATCTAAAACTTGTTAGTTTTTAACCTTCAAATGTTGCTTTCCTATCAAAGTGACTAGCGGAATTATGCTGCGTAGGCAAGGATGGAATTTGTTAAAGACTTCAAGTTAATAAAACAACAATTGAATTATTTGAACTCTTTAAATGAAAATTAACTTTAATTACGTCGGCAGTCTCTTTAAAAGAGTTCTTAGAAATTAAATTAAAAAGTTTGTAGGGTGATCCCAGAAATATATTGGTTGGGAGTAGTATGGGTGGATTCATCAGTTTACTTCTGGCCGCCGATCCAACATTAAAATCCAGCATAGCAGGAACATTTCTTTTTACAATAATTTCAATTTAAAGACTTGATTAGGATTTATTATATATAAACTAGACTTTTAAGGTGCATTGCGCCCTCTTTCCTTTAAACAATTTTAGCTTTTAAGTCCAGTGCTTAGGATACAATTAATTTTGATGCGGATCGAGATCCAAATCTGGATCCGGATCCTGGATCCGGACTGGAAAAAAATGGATCCGGATCCTAAGCACTGCTTTTAACTGCTACTCTGAAAGTCGCTATGTTAATCTTAAATTTTTGTGGATTTCCAAAACATTGTAAACCTTCACACAAACCTTCCTTTGGGTAATAAGAGTTGCCATGCAAAATTTGGTTCCGATCGGTTCAGCCGTTTTGACGTTTATTTGATACATACAAACAAACACCAAGACCGACAAGCTAAGTAAATAAACAGATTTTAAATACAATTAGATATTATTGTGAATGGAAGTATATAGGATTGTTATTGGTTGCTCCTGCAGTAAACTTTTCTTCAGTGCTATACAAATCCATCTGTTCTCAACTACCCAAGGTATGCCAATCAGATGCAACTTTTTCAGGCTCATGATGTGATTGAGGATTTGGAGGCTAGAGGTTTAAGAGGTCCGGTTTATATAATTTACTACTTAGGATGTAATTGAGAATTTGAAGGCTTATATAATTTAGTTTTTCTGATTTAATTTATGATTTGGAGGCTGTAGGTTTATACCATTTAATTCTTAGGATTTAATTGAGGATTTGGAGCATGGAGGTTTATATAATTTATTACTTAGGAGATAATTGAGAATTTGGAGAGGCTGGAGGTTTATATAATTTATTACTCAGGAGATAATTGAGAATTTGGAGAGGCTGGAGGTTTATATAATTTATTACTCAGGAGATAGTTGATTATTTGGAGACTGGAGGTGTATGTAACTTAATACTTAGGCGGTAATCGAGTATTTGGAGGCTGGAGGTTTATGTAACTTAATACTTAGGAGGTAATTGAGAATTTGGANATAATTGAGAACTTGGAGAGGCTGGAGGTTTATATAATTTATTACTCTGGAGTTTCTGGAGTTAAATGAGAATTTGGAGTCTGGAAGTTTATATAATTTAAATTACTTAGGGTATAATTGATGATTTGGAGGCTGGAGGTTTATGTAACTTAATACTTAGGAGCTTATTGAGTATTTGGAGGCTGGAGGTTTATATAACTAAATACTTAGGAGGCAATCGAGTATTTGGAGGCTGGAGGTTTATATAATTAAATACTTAGGAGGTAATTGAGGATTTGGAGGCTGGAGGTTTATATAGTTTAATATTTAGGAGGTAATTGAGCATTTGGAGGCTGGAGGTTTATATAAATACGAAAATGAGTTCGGTTCTAGAACAATCAGGAATGTTTCTTGTAAATTTTTGCAAAATTTGGCCAGAGGGGTTGATAAGGTCCTCGCTTTACTTTTCTAAAATTTTCAGTACTATAGAAATATAGATTTTTACATCTTTTTCATAACATGTTGAAAAATGGATATATTTAATGAATTTAACAAGAGTAAGTTCAGGAAATCTTTTTTTGACTCTGCTGCTGAACTTGAGTTTAAAGGAGAAATACATGTTGATGTTCCAGTCACAATACTTCATGGGGTCAAGGTATTCATCAATATATTCATTTATTAATTCATTTATCTTTAATTCATTCATTTATCTATTTAGTCCAAAATCAATAAATTCACATACAAATTCAAATTTTTAATTCATTCACAAATTAATTCATATATACATTGTCACAAATATTCATTCAATTATTTACATGTCAATTTATTAATATTTCATTTTATTCACCGTTTAATTCATCTGTTTATTAATTTATTCACATAACAAGTAATATATGATTTACTTCAGGACGAAACTGTTCCCTTTAAGGATTCTTTACAGATTATAGAAAATATTACTTCTAAGGAAAATATCATTTCTGAAAATAAAATGTTTAATATTAGTTGTTACATTAAATTTTAGAAAATTTAAAGTTTTTAATAAAGACATGTTTGTGAGAAAAAAACTCATTCTTTTATTATTAATAAATTTTTTTGTTTAAGGTAAACCTCTCCGGGTAAACCAAAATAAAATCCTTAAAGATTTTCTTAGAAATTGTTCGTCCACCATTCTCTTGTTATGATAATGATCTGAGTAGGATGTAGAGTTGACCTACGTTAAGGAAAGTACTCACAGGTCAGTTGCTTCTAAATAACCTCCCCAACCCTTGATATATAACAGTTATAATTTTAGCCTTTCTCCCCATCTTTTTTTTATTTTCCAATATAAATGTTCTTAAAAAATAATCAAATTAGTAAAAAGATATATAAACATTTTCATTATACCTCTCTGTTGAATATTATTATTATTATTATAAAATCAGAAAAGTGAATTTTGAATTCGTCCTTAGTAAGAAAAAATGCATCTTTTCTGTAAAAGACAATTGAAAAGGAAACTCAAGTCTGATTTTCAAGGGATGTAGATTAATTTTAGTTATTATTATTGATATTTAGAGAATCTCATTCAATATTGACAAAACATCGATGAGCTTCGAATATAATTTGAGTCCTACACAGTGCTTTGTATCCAGATCCGTTATATCTGCAAGATCTTGGCTTACTGGATCTGGATCCGGATCCACAGGGCAAAATATCAACCAAAAACTGCAAAAAAAACTTTTTTACTCTCTAAGTCAAAACCCAAATCTGAACTGTTGAAAAAAGAGAGAATGGTTCATTAAGTTTTAGCATAAAAATAACTGGAAAAAAGAAGAAAAATAATTTGACACTTCTGCTTTATTAAAAAAAAATTCGGTGAGTTTAAAGAAATGTTCATGACCGGGATCCGGATAAATTTTTTTCCGCATCAAAATTAAATGGATCCTAAGCACTGGACTTCTACACCATATTTCCAGAAGCATGAACTATCCCTTTAGTCTAAATATTTCTAGGTTCCAGGATCCATCCAGTCTCAAGCTTTTAAAGGAAACAAATCATTTAAACAAACTTTTCAAATTTTCCTCGCATATTTTTTTGCCTCAGAAATAATTTTTCTCCCTACTACTTATTTCTTGATAAAATGGAACTAATGTTAAAATACTGTGTTTCGCATGTGTTACTACATCCTAATTTAGCTTTCAAAATAAAAATAAAATAATGATTGAATTCAAGGACGCTGTGTTGAAAATGGTTGAGAAAACTAAGAGAACTGACACTGATAGATAAATGGTGACACTCAATCCACAAATATTATAAAATCTAACTTTATTTGAGATCATCTATCGCTATCTATTATAACTCCCCAATAACACGTAAATATGTACATTCTTTACAGATAAAATGGAGGATGCCCTTGGGGCACTAAGTCGGGATGAGAAGGGTTTAATGAGGATACTTGAACTTCTTGGAGACACATACATTCCTAGCATAGAGGTATATTTCTTTGTATTATAACCTACAATTCATGGTATTTTGTATATGTATTAATTGTTTTAATGTTAAGAACAAAATCATAAATCATTGACAGCTAAAACATGCTCTTGATACTCTTAATATTTTAATTTTTTTAAATGTTTACCATGAAATGGTTCCCTGACACCGTTGAGTGGTTCTTACTTTTGTTAACACATTTCTATTTGGTACGCAGCAGGGGCGTTTACAGGATTTTGTCCATGGGGGGGGGGTCTTAGCTTTTTAATGCTTTTGATGGGGGCTCAGTACCTATAGCCCCCCATAAAATATGCTCCTACTCCGGCAACAGGGGCCTACCTACTGGAGTTTTAGGTTAAAGGGGGCACTTTATTGTGTCCCCCCACACCCCGCCCCCTACGCCCACCCTGGCCAGCAAACTCAATCCCACAGTCATACTAAACGTATTGATACTTCTTTTAAAATATTTAGGCTGAAGATTTTTTCTTCACTTTTGATTGTGAAAGTCAGGAGGATGAAGATGGAGATGATGATGTATACAGTGAGGAAGATGAAGATGAGAATAGAAGAAGAGAGATGGGTGTCAAGCTGGCATTACGACTAATTGATGCGGTGATTTACACTAAATATAATCATTATTTAGTTTTTCATTATTATTTTTTTTATTTTTTCATGTAGCGCTTATCTTCAAAGATTTGGTTTAACATTTCTATTGATTTTTAATACTTCTATTAGGCATTAATTTTTACATTTTAAACAGCACTGTTAAAAAGACTGTAAGCTTAATTTCAAGTAACATTCCGTGCAAAGATGGCAAAGCCCAATTTACAGCGGTTCTCTTAAAAGTTTCTTCTGAATAAATATTAATTAGATATCCATTTTTTTTAACTATTAATTTTCATATATGGTTTCTCTGCAGTTTTTAAAGGGAGTGACCGCGTAGACATTGTAGTTGAGCTGAGATTGCAGTATTGTAGAGATTTTTTTAAGATTTCATTTAAGACATGACGCCCCATCACCTGCAGGACCGGCAGTTGCCAAAAGGATTTTAAAGATCGAATTTTTCCTCTTGCTAAAACGTTTAATAGGTCTGAAATGAATCCTTAAAAAGTTCTCTACAATAATGCACTCTCAGCTCATCTACCATGTCTATGCGGTCACTCCCTTTAAGAAACCATGGAAAAATTAAATTCAATACTTTTCTACTCGTAAAAGATTCGTTATCTTCCACATTTCTGAGCCGGCGATTTAAAAAATTCAAGAAAATACGACTCGGGTTTAAGCTGTTGTTGAGCCTTATTTACGGCTCGGGCTTTCGAATTTAAGTTGCATCTTTTTTTCAACAGAATTTAGTTCATAAAACCGGTTTAATGTTGTATTTGGCGGATTTTCAAAGTTGGAATTGGTGCATTCCGGGTTTTGATTAGAACAAGACGTAACATTGAGCCTTATTCTTCACTAAAACTAATCAAGGTCGGTTTTATTTGCATTGGGCTTAACTCCTTAAGCCGAGCCTAAGATCTCGCAGCTGTCAATCACGTGACACAAGCTGTCATTAGAGTTGGGTCTAAGATTGGGTCTTAAAGCTGCGTTTAAGGAATTAAGATTCGAGCCGAAGCTTTTAAATCGCGGGCTCTGATTAGATAAAGGTTTCAGGGTACCGTTGTGAATCTTACATAAACATTTTGTATGTAGGGACTCTTAAAACTTGCGCTTACAGTCGCTTTAAATTTCTAATTATTGACATATGCATTGGATTCCCCCACGGCCCACAGTTGCACTTAGTAAATCTCTTAATTCAGGTGTTCACGGATTTACAGCGTAGGTTGGTGAAGACGACATCTAAACTTCGCCGGGGTGAAGCACAAGTCAGGAGAAATAAAAGGATTGAAGACGAACTAATTGAGCTGAGGTGCGTGTGAACATTTTCAGGTTGAAAAAAAAGAAATTTGGAAATATTACAAATTTTCCTTGGTTATGACGTCAGGTTCAAGGATTTGAATACCTTCTTGGACCCCATATTTTGTATTTCTGCGCTTCCCTCTATTTAAATTTCTTAATTTGATGGAATTTAATTTGTTATAAAATCTTCAAGATGATCTATTTTTGTCATTTATATCGGATCCTGGAACCTTGAAATACATTTTTATTTTACAGAGCTAAGAATATCGAATTAGAGAAGAGACTTGAACCTTGTAGAAGAGAAGAAACTGGTGCAGAGGGAAACCAGGATATCCTCTCCTGTTCAACTCTTGTGGATCTTATAAATCAACCAGAGGAGTATGCTCAAAAGGTAGAAAAGAAGGGAAGAGAAGAGAAGATTGGACGAGTGGAAAGGATTGGTCGAGTTGGGAAGGTCGGACGAATTGAAGGGATCGGGCGAGTTGAGCAGATTGGACAAATTGGAGAGGTTGGACGAATCGGAGAGGTTGGACAAATAGTAGAGATCGGGCAAATCGGACAAGTTGGCAAAATACAATGGGCTAAAGATGAAAATCATGAAGAGCAAAGGAGGAAAAGGAAACGAGCAGAAGATACCAATTTATTAAAGAAGCGGGGCAGACCATCACAAAAGGTGAAATATCTTCTTTTATTAAAAACGCTTGATTATAAAGTTATTCCTTGGATTCCTCAGAGAGTTCAGATCTTATGTTATTAGTGTTATTCCTTCAAGTTTCAACGCTAAAAAATCAATATTTCTCGAATTATCTGTGTGTATTGTATATTGTCAAAAATTCCATCAATTCTCATATCTGAATTGCTGGATTTCGTGATTACCATTTGAACTCTATTTTATAATTTTCTGTTATCTAATACAGTTTTGAATTTTATGATAAAAACCAACTATTGAAAATTCTGATCATATTTATTATTTAACTAGTTTCCCTTCAGATAGACCTAGGACCTGTATCTAAAACTGAGCTGCTTGTTCCTGAAACTATGCCGGTCAACCCTACCTCTGCAATACCTGACTCAAGGTAGACTGGAAGGAAAATATGTTCAATCTAATGCTGATTGTACCGTACACAGGGCTGTACAGTATACACTGTAAATTATTATTATGATTATTAACAATCATCCTACGGACAAAGTACAACGACCTGTAGGTTATGATACAATGAAAACAGGGTTGAGTTCCGCTGGTCTATCATGTATTTGAAACTAGTATCAATGAAATATGAAATTAGCTCACACGGTTCATTCAAATTGTACTGCCTTAAAGGGAGTGTTCGCGAAAAATGAAAGGGGGTATAGGCTTAATGCGATAAAAAAGCGCTTTTGATCGCTACTAATCTTATTTCTATCTTTTGCGTCTGTAAGGAGAAAATTGTTAAAGACGTCTCATACCGAATAACTTAGCAGCCATACAAATTCAGAAAATTGCAACTACGACTTAGACCGTAAAAAAAATCAATTTAATTTCATTTTTCAATTTTCGCGAACACTCCCTTTAAGACAACTTTTCTTACACTTATTATCAAATTTATATTTTAAGGAACTTTTTGTTCAAAATAAAATTTAGGTTTTATCAATATCCAGCGTTTCGTTTAAAAGTTTATCAGATAAATGATACGCAACAGATCAAAAGACTCTTTAGTCTAATTTGAAAAATGGGTGTTTCAGCCATTTTTTTGGGATCCCGAGTTGCTAATTTTTCTTCAATTATTGCTTCAAAACACATTGTATCTTAATCAAATTGTTAGGAATACTCTATTCTATATGCAACTAAGAACACAAACGTATTTTTCTACGGAGTCAACTGAGGGGGAAAATTATGAGACTTAAAATATGCTTTTTTCCAGGAATACGAAGATACCTGATACGCCGGAGAAAAGTTCTCTCACACTGTTCAGAGCACCCGGAGAAGGGGACCCAACCCTCACTACTCCGGAGAAATCAAAACCTAACCTGATAAAAACCAACCTCTGTTTGATGATGGATACCAAGGAGAAGGAAGAGAAGGTTCAGTTAGCTCCATCTTCTCCTATTATATTCAGTGCTAAGAATCTTCCTGTTAAGTTCAAACCAAATGGAAAACCATACAAGTAGGATTTTTGTTGATTTATTATTCATTAGGTTATGAACCCAGCGTTGCCCAGTGTTCTCATAGTTACTCCCGCTGTTTACCCGCGCTTGGTCGTAAATTACAAATTTAGCTATTTTTAATCTTAAAAGTCAACCCACTCAACTTAGAATCTCTAAACCATGCAAAGAACATCCCTGTGTTTCCCAATAAAAGGTTAAGGTCAATCGGTCAGGGGGTTCCTGAGTTATGATCGAACACCCAAATAAACAGATATTACAGTTTTATGAATAGAGATAAAATTATTTATCCCCTCTTAAAGATCTATTAATAATACGAATCCATGGATTAAGGTTCAAATAGGCAAATGAAAGCGATATTGCAGGAAAACTGGAGGGATTTAGGTTTAACAGATTTGTTATTTTGTAAACACACGGACACAAAAATCAAGTTTCCTAAATTCAAATAGTTATGGGTCAGTAATGTTCAAAAAGAAAATGGCTCCACTAAACTACAAAAAACTATTTTTTAAAGATTACACCGAGTCCACCATGGTCAGAAAACGGCGGAGAAACGGATGGTCGGAGAAGGAAAGCCGGGAGCGGATGAGAACAAAGGTTAGAATATGTAAACTTCAGAAATCACGAAATCATCTTTTTTCAGGGGTAAATATGGTTTATTTGTATATTTCATAGATTTTTGAATTTGTGACTAGAACTCATTTATTTAATTGATCTGATAAAAATCTTTTATATTATAAATATTATTATAAATAAGTTAAGTAATAAAAACATATCCTCCCCTGTATTGATCCAGATTTGATTTGATTTTTTAGAGCTCTGCTCGGGAGATAGAGTTGCATCCAGACCTTCAGTTAGTGATGCATTCAGACCTACATCTAGTGATGCATCCGGACCTACATCTAGAGATGCATCCGGACCTACTGCTAGTGAACCATCAAGACCTCAAGCAAGTAAAGCATCGAGACCTAAACCTAGTGTTTTATTTGGACCAATGGACACTTGTGAACCAATAACGTCGCAACAAAAATATCTAGACTTTGAACTGAAGGTGAAAAAGTATTCAATAGTTTTTCTTTCTATTTTATCAGTTACTGACCTTTGTTTAAATCAAAATTTGACACTAACTCAAGTATTTTAGAGAACAGTTGGAATGATTTCTCCTAAACAGCAAAAAGAAATTGACAGGTATGATACTTAATTTTTTTAAACAATAATTTACTTTTTCTGATTTTTATACTATAATAACCAAGGCAAACATGGAAGCAGATCAATGAAGATTTTGCACAAAACCAACTAAACAAGGAAAATTACAGCACAATTAAGTCCTTTTTCAGCTGGAACTTTTGAAAAGCAGACTTTAGCATACTATTCCTGTCTTGTTTAGGTTGGAAATAAAAAAAATTAAAAAAAAAATTGTTAACCAAGTTTCTTGACAGTTCCGGACTTATTGCTTAGTTTGATAAATTAGGGTTTAAATTTATCGCCTTCCAAGCTGAACGACAGTGATTTTGAGAGTCCCAATCTGTTGAAGATAAGACCAGTTAGAGCCAGGTGTAAATTCATGATTATATTTTAATTATTCTTAATTTTTAATCAAGAAATCCTGCTTCTATTTTTATGATGCTGTATATAATTATGGTAAAATTCCTTTAAAATATTATGTTAACCAACTTAGACCTGATGTTGCGGAATCTGAAGAAGACGATATCTCCGTATTCTGCTCCCCTCCTGAACCCCTCCCAAAACCCAAACCTAAACCTGAGCGAAGAATCTCTAAAGCCCAACCTAAGATGAAGAAATCTGAGAATAGATGGGGAATTCAAGTCGAGGAAATCACGGCATCTCAGAAGAAACGCCTGAAAAATCAAAAACAGTCAAAAATTGACATGTTTCTCGCAAATGCGCAAACTAAAGCAAACGTCCGCCTTCGTGGAACAGATTTAGAGAAAGCTCTTAAACTATCTAAGGAAGAATACGAACGTAATCTGATCAAGGGAAGTGAGACAGCTGAGAATGAAAACAATTCAAAGGAGCTCCTTGAAGACCCCATTACAACGACTACAACAGAAGACCTTGCCGTGGATGTTAAAGATGGTCGAGAAAATAAAGACCCTCAGTTAAACTTCGCCTATGTAGGACCTTCCGTTAGGTATAATTAAATATTACGAACGACTAATTAAAATAAAATCGAAGTCTTACATTAATCATAATAATATTATCATATTATGTTGCTAGCATTTGATCGCTAATGGAAAGAAAAATATAAAGATCGGATAAATTTAGGAAAAGGGAAGATCGTGCCAAACTGAAAGGATTTTCTTGTGCTGAATGTGAAGAATATTATAATATGAAACGTGACGAAGGATTATCGGAAGAGCAGGTAAGGTTTTGTTTTTAATTTTACCTGTAGGAAGCAAAATGACAAAGTAAAATTACGCCCACAATTTTCAGACTAAAGCTAGCTTTAAGATTAGATTTAAGGGAAAAAGTTGATACTGTGTATCTAATGATTTTTTCTTCAAAGCTTTAAAGGGAAATTAAAGGAAAAATGGTTTTATATCAATTTCTTCCAACAGAAACATCGAATCGAATAGTGTTTAAAATAGTGCCGATTAAATTAACACTCGTTTAAAGATGAAATTTTGTTTTTGCAACAGTGTTAAATAGAAAAAAAATTTTGAGGCTTCATGACAGAAAAATATCTGAATAACTGATAAGGGTAAACTCAGACAGAATTTTTTTCTGAAATAATTTTGAATTTAACACTTGCATCCTAATTTTTTCATGGGTTTGAAACATTCATAGTGAGATCCTATTTCTTTAACAACTTGTCATTTGATTCAACATTATTCACCTATAGTTTTAACTTGTCATTTGATTCAACATTATTCACATATAGTTTTAACTTGTCATTTGATTCAATATTATTCATCTATAGTTTTAACTTGTCATTTGATTCAATATTATTCACCTAATAGTTTTAACTTGTCATTTGATTCAACATTATTCACCTATAGTTTTAACTTGTCATTTGATTCAACATTATTCACATATAGTTTAAACTTGTCATTTGATTCAATATTATTCAATTCATCTATAGTTTTAACTTGTCATTTGATTCAATATTATTCACCTATAGTTTTAACTTGTCATTTGATTCAATATTATTCACCTATAGTTTTAACTTGTCAATTCAAATATTATTGTAAATGTTCCAGATTGCGAGCTTGATGAATGACTGTTCTAAGCACCGAGCCCTCTACCGTCCTCCTCTTACACCAGAGAAATTCTGGGATCCGGAGATAATAGAAGATCCAGAATCTCCCAGGTAACGGATGTAACGATCTTTAGAGCACGCACAAGGCGAATATAAACAGGCCCTTTTCTCTAAAATCTATTTCTAGATAAACGGGTTTTTGATTATTTTATACGTTATTTATAAGAATTTGATACAGGAGAACTAATAAATTCATTGTATGTCACCAACAAAATAAACTTGTTTTCTCAAAGTAGATAGTAATTTTAAGACTAAATGAGCTACACAGTTACAAAGTACTAGTAAATTCGCTTAAAATTGAACTTTTTCTTATTAAAGTGAAACTTAGTTCACAAGTTGGGACATCGAAATTTAAGTGGTAAAAAGAAATATGATATCTTTAATGTCTAATTATTTATTTATCTTAATATAAGTTATTTACAAGAATTTTTGACAGGAAAACTAATAAATTCATCGATCTCTTGATAATCCTCAAAACTTGTGAGATCTACAAACAAATCCAATCTTTCCAATCTCTCAACCTTGTCCTTAGAGGACTCAACCTTCTCTACACTAGTCCTTCTTCTGCACAGGACACAGGACAGGACCAGGGTAGTTGAAACAGCACAGAAGAGGACAAGGACGGATACTATAAGATAAACCATGTTCTTAGAACCGGGTTTAGGTTGGATTAGCTCCTGTGTCTCCAGGGTAGGGTTGCATAGAAGAGGGTTTAGGTCCAAGCTAGCTTTATCAGCTAGACCATCTGATGATACAGCAAGGAGGAACATTTTGTCAAACAAAAAGATGTCTTCCGGTGTAAGATGGATCCAGTCAGAGCTAATTCCGTCCCGGAGAATCTTGAGCATTCCTGATCTATCCTGGGCTCCGATAATATATCTGATAGGAACGTCCTGGTTGAGTTTCCAGGACAGGACGCAGGACTCCTGCTTTAGGTTCTGGATGAACACTGAAGGTAGGACAGAGCTACTACACGCCTGTATACATCCTTCTCCACATAGCCAGGAGTACTTGGAGATATGATCACAAACAGATCCATCCTGGCAAACCTTGAGACATTTATACTCTTGATCCTTGGAGATTAATCCTGAACATTTATTATCACAGGTTGCAGATTGTATCTGGGTTGAGAGTAAAGATACAAATATATCCTCAGTAATATCCTCTCCTGATACAAGGATACAGAGGATGAGAAGAATAGAATATTTCATGTTCATCCTGGTTGTGTTAGAGTTGTACTGATGAACTATTGACCGATCACTTCATATTTATACCAGTCGGAGATGAGGGGGGGGGGGGTGGATAAGGGGTTCCGGTCAAACAGAGCGGTCACGTAACATACATTATTCCGGTCGTTGAAACAGTTTGACCGGAAAACTAATTACCAACTGTTGCTTGAACTTTAGACACCAAATGAAGATTAAAGATTTTAGAATCTAGATAATTAGCTGAGAAGTAATTATTAAAAAGTGTTCGCCCAAAACTTTCACAAAACTAAATAACCAGCTATCTTTCTATCTAATCATCTTTTTTCCCCTCATTTTTTTAATCTTTTTATTCATCATCTGTTTATCTTTGTGCATTAACCCATATTTCTATTTTGTTAGGCTTACCTAACTATTGACCATAGTTACTAATCTGTATATTCATATATCTATTAGTCTATCTATATTTCTATATTTCTATATTTCTATATTTCTATATTTCTATCCAGGAATAAGACTCAGACTGGAGCTCCTCTAAGAACCAGAGCTGTGAGAAGAGCGGAGAAACGAAATAAATTACGGCGGGAGAAAGCACGAGAAGAAAATGATGATTATACCATTTAAATTGTTTTATTTTATTAAACGACAACGGGTTTCAAATGAATTATATCAAATCTCAGGGTATTTAATTCTTATAATAAGTTTAATAATTGTATAATTATCTATTTCATTCATGATATTTTTTCTTTTTCTAACTAATTAGTAATTATCTAATAATTATCTCTAGTTTTATATGATAAATTAATTAATTATTTTTTATATTTTCTTGAGCTGATATATGTTTATTTTAAAACCGGTTTTGTGCTAGTTTGTCGGGAATAATATTCCTGTTTTTAAACTACTATAATTCCAGATAAAAATGGCGGATCAACCTACAGAGGAAACTCAGTTTGTTGTGGACGAGGTATGTTGCATCTATTCCTAAAACAAAAAGCTCCGATTTTTCTGAAAATCTAAATTTTCCTTGGTAAAGTCAACCAGCTCAAATTCGAATTGTTAAACCAAGCTGAGAACATTTCCGTGGTTCTACCAAGTTACCATTCTTCAAACCCTGAGGAAAATCGTCGTCGTGAGTTGTGATCGGTCATACAAGCAAACAGACAGACACTTGGTATTCATACATATATAGATATGGTGAAGAATGTTAATAATATTTTTATAATATTTCACTACCCTTACTGAAGTGTATTGTTTTAAGTGAATGTTTTTTTATCTTTGATTAACGCACTCGCGGTCCAATCAAAACTTGTCCTAGGTGTCGAATGTTATCAAAGAAGCCATTGAGACAACCATTGGAGGAAATAGCTATACGGTTAGTTTTAATATAAATTTATTTATTTTTACTCACTTACTAATTTAATTACTCCCTTCCCTTTTCATTTACAAGAAGTTTTTCACTTCCTTATTCAGTTATTCAATTACTTATTTTACTAACTTACTATCTACTAACTCGCTCCCTTACTTTCTTATTTCCTTACCAAAGTGCCCATTTGAATCAAGTTATATTTCAGCATTCCAAAGTAAGTCAGTGGACCAACGGAGTTGTTGAATCTTGCTTAGGAACAATTTCAAGTTTAACATTAATGGATTTTATTTTTAACATTGTCTACATTATTGCGTAGTTTTTAATTAATTAAAATTTCTCCTGAAAGTTCTATAAGTTTACATTTTTTGCAAAAATTTATTTACATTTTACACTTACTAACTGCAATTCAAAGTTAAAACAATTTAAATGACAATAAAACTTGATTTTGCTCAGCTAGTTTAACCAAGCTTCAGAAACCTTTTAAATATATTGTTTCATGTGTTATTATGCAGGTAATATAGTGTACTGCACTGATTATTTTTTTTACTTTTTAATACAATGGTGTACTACAGCTTTGTGTTTTTTTTATATAAATAACCGTTGCAGTATACCATTGTATTTAAAAAGTCTTGAGTCTAAGCAAAAATCTTATCATTACTTACGACTATTTTCATGATAGTAAAAGTTTTTGCGGCATTTTGCAGATGCTTAAACTTTTAGTTCGGTTACTTCAGCAAAGTTCACTCACACACAACTCGTCATACTAAAAAATATATATATTATGAGTTAATTTCCTAAAATACGATTTTTGGACCCCCCGCAGCCCCTCCCCCTCCTTTTGTACATGGATATCATATCATATGTAAGAAAATTTGAGCCAGCCAAATTAAAAATATTTACCCCCCCCTACAGAATCCTTATGTCCGCCCCTGACTGTATTAAGAGAGAAGATGCTCACAGATAAAACACAATTAAAAGTTGAAATATAAGATGGGCGCCTATTATAATGTATTTGTTAGCTATAGCTAGCCAAAAGGCTGGACCAAATTGGCCAAAATTTGTTTCGGTAACCCAGGGGTAATATAGCCTAAAAAATTCGAATTTTTTTTAATTCCACGACAACACAAAGCACTTCAGCTAGTGAATAATAAAATAGATATTTCTAATATTTGTGGTAAGATATTAAATGAGCAAATAGAACTAACGAACAATTTGTTAGTCAAATGATTGCTGATAAAATCTTACTCTTTTTCCTTGTATATAATTAATGGTAGTGTAGTCACTGCTAAATAAGCTATGTTATTAGGGGTTCCGTTTTTAGTATCAAAAACTATAGTAACGATTGTACATCATTTTAATCAATTTGACAAAATTAAGTATTCAAAAATTGTTAAATTTTTCTTAGTTATTCTTAGTTAAAAGGTTATAGACTGTAATTACTACCTAAAATTCCTTAGATATGACGATTGGAAAGTTCAAATTGGCCATTTTGCCATTCTGCTAATTGTAATGTCTAATAAATGATTTGGAAAAGAAATAAGAATGAATATTAATGCAAATGTAGGTAATAAGTCCAAATAAATTCTGTTCAGTCTCCTGGAGTTTCATTTGTGGATAACTTTATATATTCGTGTAGTTATATACACCCATTCAATAGCTAGATATTTTTCTTTAGCATTAATAAATACTACAGCGGTCAATACAACATCAATACAGTGTTGGTTACTGAAATATTTCAGTACCGGATAGTTCATTATTATATACACCGACCACTCTTAATTTCAGTACCAGATAGTTCATTATTATATACACCGACCACTCTTAATTTCAGTATCAGATAGTTCATTATTATATACACCGACCACTCTTAATTTCAGTACCAGATAGTTCATTATTATATACACCGACCACTCTTAATTTCAGTATCGGATAGTTCATTATTATATACACCGACCACTCTTAATTTCAGTATCGGTATAATTTATTTTGGACTACAAAAAATTATTAATTGAGATTCAGTGGATAGGAAATAATTTATGATCCTCGATGGTTTTGAGAATAAGTCAGTTAAAAAGGAATTGTCGCAAATTTGTATTATTCTAGTAACATTGATTAAATATAATTTTACTACAAGTCAAACAAAAAATTTAACATTTGCTTTGATGTTATTGTACTGTACTGCAAAATTGTTTATTTGTTGTAGAAGAATGGTGCTGGTTTGCACACAGCTAGTTCCTGCTACTGGGACAATTCAACAGACGGGAGTTGTACTGTCAGGTAGGGTATACAGTGTACACTGTACGCTGTACATATTATGCAATAATCTGACATTTGACATGGTTTACTGATTTTATTTTATCAGACAGACTGACCTTTGTTAGAGGAATTTTCGTATCATTATTATCATTATTATTAAAGGAAAACCCGTCATTCAGTGAAGTCGGGGCCGGGCACTCCTCCATTTGAAACGTATCCAAGGGTGATGCCCCTTAAGGAGACTTACTGCTAGAATAGAACCATTTCTGATTCTCTTCTGTGTTTTTATCGTTTTAAATTATTTGTGATACCATTATTATTCATGGATCTTCAGGAGCCAGGCCGATTAATGGCCATCCTCCTTTCCCTGTCTTACAGGACCATTTTTGGTGATCCATCACCCCCCAGGTATGCTGTGAGCACTGTCTGTCTTGGGTCCTCTTGTGAGTTTGTTAACCTTGAATGTTGATAAGGCAAGGCTTCGCTGTTGTCGAGCAACAGCTGGACAGTAGAAGAGAACGTGCGATTCTCTCAAGGGTACTTGGACAACGGCTTCACTTGCATGCTTGATCATTTCAGCAAGCACCCCATCGACTCCTGGAGCTCTAATTGAGTTGTGCGTATCTATTATCTGCTGGACCTCGGTGACTGTCATAAATATCCTCATACTCAGTATCTGGTCTCTCCCTTGGGATCCAATCTTTGAAGTTGGACTCCGCCCTGATCTTTAGCCTCCTTGATTTGTTGTTTTCCTCTTTACTCAAAAAAAGAAGATCTCATCCCCACAAAGGACATGGCCAATTGGTCCAGCGCAATGTCCAAAACGTTGGCCATGTCCGTCTGCATCTTTTAGGGCTGTGAGTTTGGCTCGTTTCTTTTCTCTCCTGTCGTATAAGCTCGAAATTTGCTTTCCTTCTAAATTATATCTCAGCCTTTCTTGAGATCTACGCTCGAGTTTTATTGTTCCTGACCTAATCCTGACTTCCTTGACTATCTCTTGGTATCCTAATGTAGCGGTTTCCAACCTCTCCTGGTCTTGATCTGTTCAGATCTGGTTGTTGAGCTCGCGCTGTGTGTGTTGCAGCGATATGTCTTTCTGGAGGGGTGTGCCTCTGCATTTGCGTCCACTAGAATTGTTTGTAATTTCTCAAAGCTTTCTTCGAGGTTGCATACTTCCCAGTCCACCTCAGCAAGTTGTTCATCCATTAACTGTATATAAAACGCATTGTGGGATAAGCGACGGATTGCCAAGATAAAAGACAGATTGCCAGATAAAAGACAGTTTGCCAGATAAAAACATATTGTTGGATAAAAGACAGATAATCATAATAAAAAGCAGATTGTCGGTATGGAGGATATAAGTGCAGATTCTCGTAATAAAGACAGATTGTCGAATATAAGGCTGATTGTTAAGTGTTTACAGTAAAAATTTAATGAAATATATAATACAGGAAATAAGTTTTAGTCACAAACTCTTATTTTTAATTCCTTTATCTTTGCAACCCGATGTCGTAACCTTTAGTATTTGGAACTTTGAATTCTATTAGATCAAATAGTTAATTAAGTTTTAATTTCCGTCAAGTTGCAAAGATATAGGGATTAGAAAATATTAATTTTAAACTCAATTTCTTTGTTCGTATTTCGACAACAAAAGATGTATTGTTTATGTTTAGATGGGAGAACAAGACGATGTACTGTATAGTTTCTGTCTTTGGTTTGGCAATCTAGAGAACAAATACCAGAAATAGATACTTCGCCTCAGTTCAGGGTCAAATCTATTTTCCAACATACGTAGTTTGTCTAACCCTACGATCGTACATAGGGAGAAAAAGTCGGACACTGACGAGTCGTCATAATTAACTTAAAACGTCATCTGGTTCTTCTGACACCAATTCCCGGCATAAACATGCATTTTTATCTAAACATAAAATAATGTAAACTGTACTGCGATACATTTTAACCCTACTGATATTGTATTTTTATTCATTCTTTTATTGAACAATCATAAACTTATCAATTAAGTTTTGAAATGACATTTTTTTATTTTAAATAATTTAGAATAGTTTATTTCAAGTCCAACAGTGCAGTTAAACACGTACAAATTTTATGAATAAAATATTTCAAACATTTCACTAAATTGCACATCTCATAAAGATTTAATTTATTCTGTCACTGTTAGTGATCACTGTTCAGTGTTCATTGTACACTGTAATATAATTTTGAAATATGGATAAAATAAAAAATACATACAAATAATATTTTAAACTGAATCTCTGAAGGGAAATTGTCAATCTTATTTAATTCCATTTTAGGGGTGCCACCAACGATTCACGATCCGATGCCTTCTGCAAATTTTAACCTTGATCATTGAGATATACGAGTATAAATTTTTAGTTTCTAAAACTCTTTTCTTTTGGAATTATAACTTTGCCGAAATTTTACGCAAATTGTAGAAGTAGAATGGGTCTGATACTTATCTTATTTCCCGTCAAATATTTATTTTTCTTCGCGAAAGTACTGTTGGAATGGTCAATAATTGAACTGGCTGATCGTTAAAGGTTTAATTTAATTCGCTGATTTGTAATCTTATTAAATCTTTTCTCTCGCCTTTGCTCAATTTTTGTTCCAATAGATATGACTAATCTAATGATGAATGATAAGATAGATGTTAGATATGATATTTGTAAGAGGCTAATGAATAACGAAATAGACATAATTGATATTTGTGAGAGGCTAATGGATGATAAATAGATATGACTGATAATTTGTGAGAGGCTAATGAGTTCAATGAGTGATAAAATAAATATGACTGGTATTTGCCAGAAGATAATGAATGATAAAATAGATATTTTTAATGTTTGTGAGAGGCTGATGAATGATAAAATAGATATGACTAATATCTGCTGAAGATAATAGATGATAAAATAGATAAAATAGGTTAATTTTATATAATAAAGCTCTTTACTCATATATCTAAATATAAATTTAGCTTTTCTGTTCTTGTTTGTTTTCATTCAATAAGCGTCAAAACGGCTGAACCGATCAGGCCCAAATATTTTTGTTGGATCTCACGTGACCCCAGGGAAGGTTTATGAATGATCAAATTTTAAAAATTTGTGTTTAAATGGTTTTTATTTTTGTAAAATTTGTAAATGCGCAAAAAGATATAACGAAATACGCAAACTTATTTGTTTTTGTTTTATACTGTATTCAGTGGCGGACATAAGGGCGGTTATTGGGGTTATT